TTACTTTTCACACACAAGGTTCTTTTGATCAATTAGACCAGTATATCTTATCCTGTCTTTTTTTTTTTGAGTTGGAGTCTCATTCTGTTGCCCAGACTGGAGTGCAGTGGCCGCTCCCGGACACCGCAGCCTCGACTTGCTGGGCTCCGGCGATTCTTCCGCCTCAGCCTTCCTAGTAGCTGGAACTACAGGCGCGTGCTACCATGCCCGGCTAATTTTTTGATTTATTGTAGAGATGAGGTCTCGCCAAGTTGCCCAGGTGGTTCTTGAACCTGTAGGCTCATGCAATCCACTCACCTCAGCCTCCCAAAGTGCTGGGATTACAGGCTGAGCCACCGAGCCCGGCTATCCTGTCTTTTTGAAGTATTTTTCTGAACTAATTAACTGCTGCCTTTGGTACCATAATCAAAAGGTGCCTACTCTTGAACTGGAAGCTATGCTGGCAGAAAGAGAGAACAGTGGCTACTTAATCCAGTTTTCTGTCAAGTTCAGAGGTCCCCAAGTCAGCAGTGCAGTGTGTTTCTGCTTTAAATATGAGCTTGATATCCTGAGACCCAGCACACAGTGCTGTCTGGTCTTACAGTGTCTGAGAGTCAGGGCCTCCACTCTCTCTGGCTGTTCCCCTTTGCACTGGGGTTCTCAGACAATTTCTCCTTCACACTAGTGCAGTCATGCCCTGGACTTCACTCCCCTGAATAACCTCAGGTGTCTTCCCTTCCATGACACAAGACCATGTTCTCAAGCTGAATATGTTCTTGGGGAACTAAGTCTAGGGAGACCGTAAAAGGCATGCAGAAAACCAGATTGCACTGAAAAGCAAAGGCAGAAAGGGGACTTATCCAAAGACATTTAACTGGCTGGGCGTGGTGGCTCACACCTGTAATTCCAGCACTTTGGGAAGCGAAAATGGGTAGATCGCTTGATGCCAGGAGTTCGAGATCAGCCTGGACAACATAGCAAAACCTGGTCTCTCTCTCTCTCACACACACACAACACACAAATAAGTAAATAAATAAAAAAAATAGCCGGGTATGGTGGAGCTTGCCTGTAGTCCCAGCTATTTGGGAGGCTGAGGGGAAGGATCACCTGAGCCCAGGAGGTGGAGGTGAGCTGTGATTATACCACTGCATGCTAGCCTCGATGACAGAGTGAGACTCTGACTCAAAGAAAGAAAAACAAAAAAAGTCACTTCTTTTTTTTAGAGCACTCCCCCCCCCATCTATCTACTGGCCTAGCACCAAAGGGTTAGTTGATGGGGAAAAAAATAAAGGAGAAAAAAAAGGACTTTCTAGAAACCATTCCTTAATCTGTCAAGTTCTACCAGCAAGGAGTAATGCAAGAGATCAAGGAAGAAGGGTCTGAGCACTGTAACTGACTGCACCGATGAATTCAGATTGCTCAATGCTTGGAAGGCATGGCTATCAGGAGTCTTCCAGATTCAACACTTCTTGCCAGAGTGAGGGACACGGCTCTGAGGGAGACTGCGCTGGGAGCCAGCAGCGACACGGGTCTTTTCATGACCTGACATGCTGCAATGGGCTGGGACACTGCTTACCCAGCAAACAACGCTGCAGCTGAAATTTAATTTCTGTTCTAAGAAAAGAGAGATGCACACTGACAACAGAGGCAGGAATCCTTGCCTAGAGGCCGCCTACCAAATACAGACTTTACACCACTTTATTATCAATGTTTTCCCTTTTCAGAGGGGCGCAGACATCTCCCCAGCGTTATCTCCATGAAGAATGGGAATGCAATAAAAAAATCATAAAAGTATCAGTGGAAAGGAAAAGGGGTCATCTTAGGGTGACTGCATGTCTGAGACAGCTAACTTAGAAGCATTTCTTCTGTTTACTGACCTTCTTTTCACCTGGGATGTTTTCCTTGAAAAGAGCCACACTTTGCGAAAGCACTCAGGAAAAAAAAACTGCCATTTTGAGGGGTGGTACACGAGCAGAAGCGAGGTGGTCTGAGGCACTCACAGCAGGACTCAGAGGGCAAGGGTCCTGACGGTGGTTTGTATACCAAGGTTGTGGGCTGTGCCAGGCATCGTTGAATCCCGTGAGCTTTACCCGGGTCCAAGGAACAAGAATACAGGGTCATCTTGGCCAGCTGCCACCTAGGGGGCTTCAACCCCTCTGACTTGCCCATGGCGGGGTTCCATCTATTTCAAGCTTACCATCTTCAACTTCAGGGAACTCACAGCTTTTAGTTGGAACATTTTTCTTTATGTTAACCTCAGATCTTCTCGTCCTCCTGATCTCAACCACTCCTGTAATCCAGAACATTCTAGCCCTTCGTTCACAAAATGGCCTTTCAACAATGACAAACCTTTCCTGCGCCCGCCATCCCAATTCATTCCTTCAGTCTTTCCTTCCACAAACACTGAAGGGCAAGGATTGGATTCTGTGCCCGTTCCCATCTGTCATCTTCCTCTTCAGGTGGGTCCCTTAATCACTGTGTCCTTTGGCAGTATCCTCTTCTTCCCCCAGTCCACACATACTCTTGAACACTGTCCTGATCTTGAAGTAGTGCAGGATGAGGGCCTCAATATTCTAGACATCTGTCTCCTTCTAGCTATGGGATGCTAGGTGGGTTACTTAGTCTCTTTGTGCTTCCATTTTCTTATCTGCGAAACGAGAGGGTATCACCAGTTCCTACCCAACAAGGATGTCAAGACTAAAAATGTGAACATTCCTAAAGTGGCCACATCCCAGGTGCCTCAGTGATATGTGCTCTTGCTGTGTGACTCTAGGTGTGTGGAGACTGCTGCTAAGCTCTCTTCTTCACTTATCTTTTTTTTCTCCACTTATTGATTTATGCCATTTGAACAGGAAAGAGGAGTGATGTCTGTGTCTGTGATACCTGAGAGACTAAAGTCTGAAGGAATGGGAGAAGTAGCTATGAGCTTGAAGGCTGGACACTCTGACAGTCACCAATGACCCATGAGGGACCACCAGTCAGAAGGGGAGCCACAGAATTCAGCATGGAGATGTCAGGGAGTGACGGAATAGAACGGTCTGTGGAAGGGACTGATGCCCTGGCAACTCTGATTTTTCTTTTCTTTTTCTTTTTTTTTTGAGTTGGAGTCTCACTCTGTCATCCAGGCTGAAGTGCAGTGGCATACTCACTGCCACTGCAGCCTCGACCTGCTGGGCTCCGGCGATCCTTCCGCCTCAGCCTTCCAAGCAGCTGAACTACAGGCATGTGCTACCACGCCTGGCTAAGTTTTTGATTTATTGTAGAGACAAGGGCTCGCCAAGTTGCCCAGGCTGGTTTTGAACCTGTGGGCATAGGCAATCCTCTTGCCTCCACCTCCCAAAGTGCCGGGATAGCAGATGTGAGCCACTATACTCAGCAACTCTGATATTTCTGATGAAAGGCTCGCCATCTACATGTGTTTAAAAATATACTGGAGACTGCAGCAATCCCACTGCTGGGTATACCGGGGTGCCCCAAAAAATCTACACATTTTTTAAGAGATGCTATCTATGTATCACTTTTTGAAGTTGAATTGAACTACAGTAGCAATCTGTAATTGCAGAAGTCAGATGTGACTTGTATTCATCTTCTGTGATTGCTATATATCGAGTATTAAAACTTTAATACAGCTTTTCCCTTTCTTAAAATACGTATATGCTTTTTGGGCACCCTCTGTACATTCAAAATAATCAAAATAGGGCCTTGAAGAGACACTTGTCCAGAGGCTATGAACACGTTTACAAAAGCATTATTTACAATAGCCAAGAGGATGAAGCCAAGGGTCTGTCAACAGATGAAGAGATACACAGCAGGTGGAATATCCACACGATGGACAATTACCCAGCTTTAAAAAAGAAAGAAATCCTGACACAGACTATACCATGCTCGGACATTATGCTAAGTGGAATAAGTCAGGCACCAAAAGAGGAAAACTGTATGATTCCACTTATTCCACTGTGTCTACGGTAGTCAACTTCATAGTCACAGAAGGCAGAATGATGGCTGTCACGGGTTGTCAGTTTTGCAAGATAAAAAGAGTTCTGAGGTTGGGCACAATGGCTCATGCCTGTAATTCCAGAACTTTGGGAGGCCAAGGCAGAAGGATCGCTTGAGCCCAGAAGTTTGAGAGAACAGCCTGGGCAACACAGTGAGACCCTATCTCTATTTACAAAAAAGAGAAAGAGATCTGAAGATTGGTTGCACAACAATGTGAATGTACTTACCACTACTGAACCGTGCACTTAAAAATGGTTAAGATGGCCGGGCTTGGTGGCTCAGCCTGTAATCCTGCGCTTTGGGAGGCTGAGGTGAGTGGATTGCCTGAGCCCGCGGGATAGGGACCTGCCTGGGCAACTTGGTGAGACCTAATCTCTACAATAAATCAAAAAATTAGCCAGGCGTGGTAGCACACGCTTGTAGTTCCAGCTACTTGGAAGGCTGAGGCGGAAGGGTCGCCAGAGCCCAGTAGGTCGAGGCTGCGGTGGCCGTGAGCATGCCACTGCACTCCAGTCTGGGCGACAGAGACTCCAACTCAAAAAAAAAAAAATGGTTAAGATGGTACATTTTATGTTATGAGTATTTTATCACAGTGAGAAAACACACACACACGCACGCATGTGCGCAGAAGTGCAATAAAACCACAATAAGGGAAAAGAATGGTAACAAAAACAGAGAAAATCCTTCCCATGATTTCACAAGTCTCATGAAACTGCTCCGAAGTCTTGTTCTTGGGAGACCCCGTGAAGTGTCAGCTGTTGAGCCTTGTTCTCTAAAGCACCACTTCACGTGGGCCTGCAATCTGGAGGCATAGACCGCAAGACCGCAGGCTTGGGAGCAAGGATCTGGGGTCTGCGCTTGGCGAGGTGACCTTGCCAGATGGCTTCGCCTCATCCATCTTTAGTTCTCTTATCTGCAGGGATGTTACGACAACAGGGATGTTGTGACAATCCTCATCTGCAGGATGTTGTGCCCATATTAAGGCGCAAGGAACGTGAGTCAGAGCCACAGTTTCCAGATCCTACCTCGACGTCATACAGGAACCGGAACCGGCTTCTTTTGCTGGCTGCCGCCCTCACAGCCCGAGCCAAGTCCACCGAGCCTTTTCCACCAATGGACCAGTGGTAGCAGGGGACCGCGTCAAAGGCTCCAGCCCGCTTTGCCAGCTCACACACCAAGTCGATCTCAGCGCGGGTGTCAGTCCTGAAGATGAAAGTGCTTGTGGTTTTGCATCTGCGTTCATTTAGCAGTGTTTTTAAAGAAAGATTAACTGTTTATACAGAAGTTCGCTTCCTAACGCTGCATACATTTTAAACATCAAAAGTGGTCGCATTGTGTTAGATAAATCAGGCTTAAAGAAAAGTCTGGAAAAAAGTTCTTTCCAGCTAGACTCAAATATTTCAAGTTGTTAAGGGTTTTATCGAGAAAATTCTGTAACATATCTCTTTGATCATTCACAGTCTTTCAGACAGAAATGCTGGGTGTAATTTAAAACAAAAAAGCCAGTGAAATTGTAATTTGCTATATAGATTTCACTTCCCTAATAAGATTTTGAGAATGCCTCTGCTCAAAGAAACCAAACCAAAGCAACCATCAGAACTGAGTACTTCTGTATACTTTTAGATGAAGCCGAGAAGCACCACATACCCTCAAGACACAAACAGAGTTCCCAGGGTGGCCGAGCCATACGACCACATTTGAAGGATCTTTGACTTACTTGAAGACATTCAGGGCAACCACGACGGGAACCCCAAAGAGCTGAGCAATCTGAATTTGCTTCTGGAGGTTACAGCAGCCGTCTGCCACCAGCTGGATGTTCTGTAAAAAACGAAACAAAACAAAAACAAAAAACAGGCCCCTGTGTGTTATATGCCATCAAACATGCCATGCTACACCGGCAGTGCCCTCTGGGCAGGTTTTGCCTATATCTTCCCTCCTTTTTTCCTCCAAGAAAGACATCTGCAAGATACAGAGATTCGTTTTCAAAATAATTTTTAAAGGACCCAGGTGTGATGGCTCACGCCCAGCACTTTGGGAGGCCAAGGTGAGAGGATTGCTAGAGGTGGGAGGTCAAGACTAGCCTGGACAAGAGAGTGAGACCTTGTCTCTACAAAATAAAATAAAATAAAATAAATCAGCCAGGCGTGGTGGCGGCACTCTAGTCTGGGGGCACAAAATGAGACCCCAACTCAAAAAATAAACAATATCTAAAATGATTCCAGGTCCAGTGACCTATTTGGGTCTTGTGTCTGCAGCTTTCTCGGCTGCTGAGGGACTGCTGGGTCCTGGTAACATGCCCACACTCTCCAGGCTGGGAGACCACGGGCACAAGACCCCAGGAGGGTGAGGTGCCCTATCCAGACACTCCCAGCTCAGGTTCCTGGCGCCATCTGTAGGAGCTAAAAGGTACTGCTGCCAGTAAATCAAATTTTCCAAAAAGGAGCAGTCCATTGTACATCTTCCACCCCAAAAGAATACACAGGTGTAAGCTTGTGAGCCTCTTATTTGTTTCTGTCCTGGAGACTTTGAGTGCCTGCTATGACGAATGCCCCGGGGATGGGAAACAGTAGACAAAACCTATCACCCTCTTTTCTTGAGATTTGAATTGAGTTTTAAAGAGTTAATTGAAAGGATTTTACCCCTTTGGCTCACCTATTTCCTCTTGGATTCTTAGAAGCATCCTTTTCTTTTTTTTTTTCTTCTTGAGTTGGAGTCTCACTCTGTTGCCCAGACTGGAGTACAGTGGCATGCTCACAGCTACCGCAGCCTTGACCTGCTGGGCTCTGGCAATCCTTTCGCCTCAGCTTTCCAAGGAGCCGGAACTACAGGTACGCGCTACCACGCCTGACTAATTTTTGATTTATTGTAGAGACAAGGTCTCGCCAAGTTGCTTGGGCAGGTCTCGAATCCGCAGGCTTAGGCAATCCACTTGCCTTGGCCACCCAAAGTGCTGGGATTACAGGATGAGCCACCGAGCCCGGCCCAGAAGCATCCTTCTCTAAGAACATTTTGATTCACCTAGGACATGGTGACTTTCTCTCCTCTCAGTGGAAGAGGCCTTGAGGATATTAGAAATCCTTTGAAAAGAAGTTAGCCAGGCATGGTGGCTCATGCCTGTGATCCCAGCACTTTGGGAGGTGGAAGCAAGAGGACTGTCTGAGCCCAGGGGTTCACAACCAACCTAGGCAACTTGGAGAGACCTCGTCTCTACAATAAATCTAAAAATTAGCTGGGTGTGGTGGCACACACCTGTGGTTCCAGCTACTTGGAAGGCTGAGACAGAAGGATCGCCTGAGCCCAGCAGGCTGAGGCTGTGGTGACCGTGAGCGTACCACTGTCCTCCAGTCTGGGGCAACAGAATGAGACTATGACTCAAAAAAACCCCAAGAAGTTAGCTTTGTGACAAAATTGTTCTTTGATAGAATGTGGGAGCAACATAAAGTATTTTCAGATGGGTATTTCCAGAAATAGTGTAGAGTAAAACACTGGGTGTACCTCTCAATTAGAGCAACTAAAATGCTAAATAAAAACCCAAAACATTCAGCTTTGGTGGAAGACTTGTTCACTGCAAGCTGATAAACTGGACCTGCGTGATTCTTCATTTAAGTTTCTCTTACCTCCTCAGTGTATTCTTTCTTAAGAGGGACACCAGCGGTTACCTGAAACAAGAAGACACAAAAATGAAGAATAATACCACAAAGATGCCTGCTCCAATTGAAAAAGATTTGAAAGAAAAACAACACAACTCATGATCCCTTTTTGGACAGGCAGCCCTCTATTTTGTGCTTTTAAACTGATAGCTGGTAGCTGACAGCGTTAGCTGAACCTAAAGTCTTGAGGGAAAGACTTCAGAAAACTGATGCCCCCACTCCAACTAGATCTCAACACAACCAGAATTTTTCATAGTGTGACCTCAGATCAGTAATGCTTAAAAACTCCCCAGATGGGCCAGGCATGGTGTTCCACATCTTCAATCTTAGCATTTTGGAAGGCCTCGGCAGGAGGATTCCTGAGCCCAGGAGTTTGCGACCTTATATACAAAAATAAAAAATCAAAAAAATTAGCTGAGCATAGTGGTATGTGCCTCTAGTCCCAGCCAGTAGAGGTTTCTGTGAGGGTGAGCCGTGATTGTGTTGCTGTGATTCAGCCTGGGTGACAGAGTGAGACCCCAACTCAAAGAAAAAAAAAAGGAAGCATTGCTAAGCTTGTATGCTGGCACACATGCAAAGTTCTGCAGAAAACAAGACCCAAGCAGAAGCAGGAAGAATAGGCTATAAGCAAATATCAAGAATAGAAAAAAATTGACAAAATTAAAAATAAGTTCTTTAAATGAGTAACAACAACAAAAAAAGGGGAATGAAAATGATTGTATGTAATCCCACGCCTTTGGGAGGATGAGGTGAGTGGATTGCCTGAGTCCGCGGGTTCAAGACCCGCCTGGGCATCTTGGTAAGCCCTCATCTCTACAATAAATCAAAAATTAGCCAGATCCAGGCTCGGTGGCTCAGCCTGTAATCCTGTGCCTTTGGGATGCTGAGGTGAGTGAATTGCCTGAGTCCGCGGGTTCGAGACCCGCCTGGGCAACTTGGCGAGACCTCATCTCTACAATCAATCAAAAAATTAGCCGGGCGTGGCAGTGCGCGCCTGTAGTTCCAGCTACTTGGAAGGCTGGGGCGGAAGGATCGCTGGAGCCCAGCAGGTCAAGGCTGCGGTGGCCGGGAGCGGCCACTGCACTCCAGTCTGGGCGACAGAGTGACACTCCAACTCAAAAAAAAAAACAAAAACAAAAACAAAAAAACTCATTTAAGACTGGAGATGGCGTTTTACACCTGCAATCCCAACACTTTGGGAGGCAGAGGTGGGAGGATTTATTTTTCTTTCTTTTCTTCTTCTTCTTTTTTCTTAAAGAGAGATGGTCTTCCTTTGTTGCCCAGGCTGGAGTGCAGTGGCATATTGGTGGTTCAGTGCAGCCTCGACCTTCTGGCCTCAATTGATGCTCCCACCTCTGTCTCCCAAGTAGCTGGGGACTACAGCTATATGCCACCACACTAGGCTAAAGAAGCAGGAGAACTGCTTGAGGCCAGGTGTTTAAGACCAGTCTGGGTAACATAGCAAGACCCTGTCTCTACAAAAATAAAATAAAAAAATTAGTGGTGCAGGCTGACATGCTTGTAGTCCTAGCTACTCAGGAGGCTATGGTAGGAGGACCACATGAGTCCAAGAAGTAGAGGCTGCAGTAAGCCATGATTGGGTCATTGCACTCTAGCCTGGGCAACATAGTGGGATAGCAAAACATTAGGAATCCAATGAGCAGAATCCACTTTCATGAAAAAGGTAATCTATGCCCAAGTTAGGTTTATTATAAGGATGTAAGTCTCATTTAATACCTGGAAGTCATATACAATTTATAACATTAATAAAGGGAAAAACAATATCGTCACCTCAATAGATGAAGAAAATTCAAAATCCCACTCAGTGTAAGAACTTGGTAAATTAGGAACAAAAGGAAATTTCCTTGCTTATAAAAAGAAGACACTAAAAATCTACAAGAAACATCATATTTAATGATGAACTGTGAAAAGCATTTCCTTTAAGATCAGGAACAAGAAAAGAATGCCTCTTATTATTACTCCTGTTCAACACTGCTTCGCAACTAGGAAGACCTGGTCAGTGACAAGAAAAAAGTACAACAATTGGAAAAGATGTAGCAAATGATCATTATTTTCAGATATGACAGACTGTCCACAAAGAACTCTCCAGAGTATCTATAGCTTAATTAGTATAATCAATAAGAGAATTTAGATAGGCCATTGGATATAAAAGCAATATGTAAGAATAAAAACAATCTGTTCAGTTATTTAAAAATATAAAGAACAAAGAAACAAATCTATAAGAAGATGAACAAACCCTTTATGGAATAAACAATGAGTGTTTATTAAAACATATTTAAGAAGACCTAAATCAGTCGGGCTCGGTGGCTTAGCCTGTAAACCCAGCGCCTAGGAGGCTGAGGTGAGTGGATTGCCTGAGCCCGCAGGTTCGAGACCCGCCTGGGCAACTTGGTGAGACCTCATCTCTACAATAAATCAAAACAAAAAGTTAGCTGGGCGTGGTAGCACGCACCTGTAGACACAAGTACTTGGAAGGCTGAGGCGGAAGGATCGCCGGAGCCCAGCAGGTTGAGGCTGTGGTGACCAGAAGCATGCTACTGCACTCCAGTCTGGGTGACAGAGTGAGATGCCAACTCAAAAAAATAAATAAATAAAAAAGAAGACTTAAATTGTCTGGGCGTGGTGGCTCAGCCTGCAATCCCAGCACTTTGGGAGGCCGAGGCGAGTGAATTGCCTGAGCCTCCGGGTTCGAGACTCACCCGGGCAACTTGGTGAGACCTAGTCTCAACAATAAATAAAAAATTAGCCGGGCGTGGTAGCATGCACCTGTACTTCCGGCTACTTAGAAGGCTGGGGGTAGGATCACTGGAGCCCAGTAGGGCGAGGCTGTAGTGACTGGGAGCGTGTCACTGCACTCTAGTCTGGGCGACAGGGTGAGACTCCAACTCAAAAACAAAAAAAAAAGGACCTAAATCAATGAAGAGATACAATGTTCTCAGAGAGAGTTGCCAAATCTCCCCAAATCATCTATATACTTAATGCTATTCCAGTAAATAATCTTAATTTTTTTTCTGAGTTGGAGTCTCACTCTGTCGCCTAGGTTCAGTGCAGTGGCATGCTCATGGTCACTGCAGTCTCGACCCACTGGGCTCGAGGATCCTTCTGTCTCAGCCTTCCAAGTAGCTGGAACTATAGGCATGTGCCTGGCTAATTTTTTGATTTATTGTAGAGATGAGGTTCCACCAAGTTGCCCAAGCTAGTCTCAAACCCGTGGGCTCTGGCCATTCTCTCACCTGTCTCCCAAAGTGCTGGGATTATAGGCGTGAGCCACCATGCCCGGCCCCCAATAAATAATCTTTAAAAGATTCTTTGTAGAACTTGATAAGCTAATTCTAAAGTACAGTTACACGGGGAAGTTGAAAGGGTCAATAAACCAGACACTCACGAAGAAATAGAGCGAAATGGAAGAGCTTGCCCTATAAGGTGTAAGCATAGATGCTGTTACATAGAAATAGACAAGGACAATTGAAGGGAGATCCCAGAAAGAGACCTATACATGCATGGAGAATTTTTTGTAGGGATAAGGTCTCGCTATGTTGCCCAGGCTGGTCTCCAACTCCTGGGCTCAAGCAATTCTCTTCTCTCGACCTCCCAAATCTCCCAAAGTGCTGGGATTATAGGCTGAGCCACCGAGCCGGTCCTGGAAAACATTTCCTTTATGATGTCTGTAATTTCTATACATATTAAAATAGGTAAACAGCAACAGTCTTCAAAAATGTTAAAATAGAATTTGTGTTTTCCAAGCAAAGCTCACTTAGAAACAATCCAGTGTTATAACAGAGTTATGAGGTAAAATCATAATAAACAGAAAGATAAGGAGATGAGCTGTGGATGAAAACTGAGGAGCTGCAGCATCAGTGAACCGGAAAACTATCCGTACAAACATTAAAAAACCTCGGCCATCACAGAAGCAGTCAAACCCTCAGGCTCTTCCTTCAGGGACGAGATACTTTACCCTCCCGTGGCCAATGTGGTTATGTAACTGTGGTCTGAGCATCACATGTGGATCTTAAGACTCAAAAGGGGTTTGTTCTGCTCCTTTCCAAAGTACTGTTTAGAAATACTGGGCATTGGGGGATGGGGAGGTGGGATTGACAGTAGTGGATATCTGCCTGGGGAAGGGGGGGCACACCTCATCAGTAAGGGTACCAGTACGGTGAATATTCATATATCTAGCCCTGAATTGTACCCCAAAATTTTAAATAAAAATTAAAAGAGGAAAAAAACACTCTTAAAAAAAGAAATACTGGGTGTTACTGTTTACTTGAACTTGCTAAACTCAAAGTGTCCATGGTGATGCTTGCAAAAAAAAAAAGGCGACTTTTAGAAAGAAGACATGCAGCCGGGCTTGGTGGCTCAGCCTGTAATCCCACGCCTTGGGAGGCTGAGGTGAGTGAATTGCCTGAGCCCGCGGGTTCGAGACCCACCTGGGCAACTTGGCGAGACCTCATCTTTACAATAAATCAAAATGAGCCGGTCATGGTAGCGCGCGCCTGTAGTTCCAGCTACTTGGGAGGCTGAGTTGGAAGGATCGCCAGAGCCCAGCAGGTCGAGGCTGCGGTGGCCGGGAGCGGCCACTATACTCCAGTCTGGGTGACAGAGTGAGACTCCAACTCAAAAAAAAAAAGAAGACATGCTAGAAGAGTATATTCAAGAAGCAGGCGGGAATGCTTCCAATGCTAACTTCTGCAATATCTTCATTAAAAACTTTTTTACTAGATAGGCAGTCTGGGCACTCACACTCGGGCCGCCTCCGTGCATCTTCAGGGCTCGCACCGTCGCCACCAACACCACCACGTTGGGCACCAAGCCGGAAGCTCGGCACTTGATGTTGAAGAATTTCTCCATTCCGATGTCAGCACCAAAGCCAGCTTCAGTCACTGTGGGGAGGCAATTTGGAAGTATGCTATTATCTTCTCAAAACAAAAGGAGGTTTTGGCAATCATTACAATTCAAGCTCAAAGGGTAGCTTAAATCCATTTTGTTTACCTATGCGAAGGTACACTTGTTTCCTCTCTCTCCCTCTCTCTCTCTCTGTCTCTCCCTCTCCCTCTTTTGAGATGGGATCTCAGGATCTTGCTATGTTGCCCAGGCTAGTCTCAAACTCCTGAGCTCATGCGACCCTCCCAATTTAGCCTCCAATTAGCTGGTATTATGGGTGTAAGCCACCACTCCTGACAGCTTTTCTTCTCTTTTCTTTTTTTGAGTCAGAGTCTCTCTGTTGCCCAAGCTGGAGTGCAGTAGCACACTCACAGTCACTGCAGCCTCGACCTGTCGGGCTCAAGTGATCCTTCCCCCTCACCCTTCCAAATAGCTGGAACTACAGGTGCATGCCACCATGCCGGGCTAATGTTTTTATTTATTTATTTATTTTTGAGTTGGAGTCTCACTCGGCCGCCCAGACTGGAGTGCAGTGGCCGCTCCCGATCCCGGCCACCGCAGCCTCGACCTGCTGGGCTCCGGCGATTGCTGGGGTCCGGCGATCCTTCCGCCTCAGCCTTCCGAGTAGCTGGAACTACAGGTGCATGCCACCATGCCGGGCTAATGTTTTTATTTATTTATTTATTTTTGAGTTGGAGTCTCACTCGGCCGCCCAGACTGGAGTGCAGTGGCCGCTCCCGATCCCGGCCACCGCAGCCTCGACCTGCTGGGCTCCGGCGATTGCTGGGGTCCGGCGATCCTTCCGCCTCAGCCTTCCGAGTAGCTGGAACTACAGGTGCATGCCACCATGCCGGGCTAATGTTTTTATTTATTTATTTATTTTTGAGTTGGAGTCTCACTCGGCCGCCCAGACTGGAGTGCAGTGGCCGCTCCCGATCCCGGCCACCGCAGCCTCGACCTGCTGGGCTCCGGCGATTGCTGGGGTCCGGCGATCCTTCCGCCTCAGCCTTCCGAGTAGCTGGAACTACAGGTGCATGCCACCATGCCGGGCTAATGTTTTTATTTATTTATTTATTTTTGAGTTGGAGTCTCACTCGGCCGCCCAGACTGGAGTGCAGTGGCCGCTCCCGATCCCGGCCACCGCAGCCTCGACCTGCTGGGCTCCGGCGATTGCTGGGGTCCGGCGATCCTTCCGCCTCAGCCTTCCGAGTAGCTGGAACTACAGGTGCATGCCACCATGCCGGGCTAATGTTTTTATTTATTTATTTATTTTTGAGTTGGAGTCTCACTCGGCCGCCCAGACTGGAGTGCAGTGGCCGCTCCCGATCCCGGCCACCGCAGCCTCGACCTGCTGGGCTCCGGCGATTGCTGGGGTCCGGCGATCCTTCCGCCTCAGCCTTCCGAGTAGCTGGAACTACAGGTGCATGCCACCATGCCGGGCTAATGTTTTTATTTATTTATTTATTTTTGAGTTGGAGTCTCACTCGGCCGCCCAGACTGGAGTGCAGTGGCCGCTCCCGATCCCGGCCACCGCAGCCTCGACCTGCTGGGCTCCGGCGATTGCTGGGGTCCGGCGATCCTTCCGCCTCAGCCTTCCGAGTAGCTGGAACTACAGGTGCATGCCACCATGCCGGGCTAATGTTTTTATTTATTTATTTATTTTTGAGTTGGAGTCTCACTCGGCCGCCCAGACTGGAGTGCAGTGGCCGCTCCCGATCCCGGCCACCGCAGCCTCGACCTGCTGGGCTCCGGCGATTGCTGGGGTCCGGCGATCCTTCCGCCTCAGCCTTCCGAGTAGCCGGAATTACAAGCGCGCGCTACCACGCCCGGCTGATTTTTTGATTTATTGTGGAGATGAGGTCTCGCTGCCCAGGCGGGTCTCGAACCCGCGGGTTCAGGCAATCCACTCACCTCAGCCTCCCAAAGGCGCGGGATTACAGGCTGAGCCACCGAGCCTGGCTTGTTTTGATTTATTATAGAGACAAGGTCTCACCAGGTTGCTTAGGCTGGTCTTGAACCACTGGGCTCAGGCAATCCTCTTGCCTCCACCTCCCAAAGTGCTGGGATTACAGGCATGAGCCACCGTGCCTGATGCAGTTTTTCTTTGTAAAATGGGATTTCAACTTTGCAATCAGGTTCCAAATTGTATCAAAGGACAATGATACCATGATGACAATAGAAGATTCTTTTCTTAATGTTTATATTCAGATTTATTTTAGTGCCACCTGGTCATTTCTGTTGGCTGGCAAAATTCAAGTTACTTAAGTGGTATAAGCATGTTGATCATTAGATTTGATACAAGACAGCACCTTGATTTGAGAATCACAAAAAATATTCATAGCCGGCCCCTCCCCCAACTGCTAGAGATGTTACAACGGCAAGCAAGGAGGTAGCAGAGAGAATATTGACATTGCCTCCCAAGACAATGCTACACAATGGGTCAGTAGCATCTTCTTCATGCACAAAGAAGAGATCTATGACTTGCATCAGCATCAACTGAGAGCTTCTTAGAAAAGTAGACTCTGGGTCCACCCACAGACCTAATGAATCAGAACTCAAGTTCAACAAGATCCCCAGGTGAGATGAATGGATGTCCGTTACAACATGGGATGCACGCTATCCCAGCAAAGAACTACTTCTAATGCAATAAAAAGGAAATCCTCATGAAATATGCAACTGACAATACAACCAAGATCCTAACTTACAGTATAGAGAGGAACTGGCAGTCAGAAATCTTACTGAGGGCCGGGCTCAGTGGCTCAGCCTGTAATCCCAGCACTTTGGGAGGCTGAGGGGAGTGGATTGCCTGAGCCTGCAGGTTCAAAACCAGCCTGGGCAATTGGCAGGACCTTGTCTCTACAATAACTAAAAAATTAATCGGGCATGGTAGCACGCGCCTGTAGTTCCAGCTGGTTGGAAGGCTGAGGCGGAAGGATCGCCGGAGCCCAGCAAGTCGACACTGGGGGCCTGTGAGCGTGCCACTGCACTCTAGCCTGGGCAACGGAGTGAGACGCCAACTCCAAAAAAAAAAAAAAAACTTACTGAGAAATCACAAACATTTGAAATAATCCGTTTTCTTGCTGTACCACAAACTTTCAAAATTTATGATTATAAGTGGCAGCTTATAATTTTATTAAGCTGATGTACCAACATTTACAAAACTGCTCCCCCTGTTATTGGACATCTGGGCTATCTCCAATATAAACAAAGCTACATTGAAAATATCTGTGCATATGTGTTTGAATCTCTTTCAAATTATGTTCTTGGAAAAAATTCCCAGGGGTGAGGTAATGGGGCCAGAGGATATAAAAAATTTTTATGACCATTGATATGCTTTTGACACATTAAAAAAAGTCCTTTAAAAAATGCGATTTGGATGACTATAGCTACAAGTCATTTTATTCTTTATTATATTTTCTTTGAACAAAGTATGTAGCAAAACAATTTTAAAAAGCCAAAGACATTAATTTTATATAGTATTTGGGACAAATCTCATGATTAGTAGCAGTCAAAACCAGAGAAGATTGCTTTACGATAATAATTCTATTTTTTTTTTTTTTGAGTCGGGGTTCTCTATCACCAAGGCTGAAGTGCAGGGGCACAATCACGGCTTACCTCAGCCTCCACACCTGAGCTCAGGCTGTCCTTCCACCTCAGCCTCCCGTGAAGCTGGGACTGGTGTGTGCCACCAAGCCAGGTTAATTTTTTTTGAGAGACAAGGTCTTGCTATGTTGCCCAGACTGGTCTTGAACTCCTGGACTCCATAAATCCTTCTACCTCGGCCTCTCAAAATGCTAGGATTGCAGGTATGAACCACAGCACCCACCACAGTTACAATTCTTATCTCAGTGGTACCACAGGTGAAGCAAATGTTAACTTTAGAATGTAGGTAGCTAGCCAGGCTTGGTGGCTCAGCCTGTAATCCCACACATTTGGGAGGCTGAGGTGAGTGGATTGCCTGAGCCCACGGGTTCAAGACCTGCCTGGGC